GTTATGTTTCTTTGAAATAACGTAAGTAACCTTTATTTTTTTAGCCTATTGTTTCACAAAGGCCCTAAAAATGCACATTGAATATACCGCAAACTTTCTTCATGTTATGTTACAAATCCCATGTAATTATCCATAGTTACTCATATAAAATGGGCTTTGACCGAAACTTGGACCTGAATTTATCTTAAATTTATGTGAATTCACCATACCTCAAAACAGTAAACGTTGTCGTTTTTAGTCAGTAAGTGATTTTGATAATGTACTCCCATCAAAAAAGGACCTGGACAACAGCTACACTAACAATTAGAAGACAAAGAAGCAATTTTTTAGAAACCTCCTCGTCTATTAGTTCACAAAGCGTAATAGCTCAGACAAAAGGTTCAATAACCCCACAAACGAACCGAGTTTAATTACTTACTCTCTTCTGTTTGTGAACTGAAGGTTACAATTTCGTTCTCTCAAATAACTTCATTCGAACCACTGAAGACTTAATAGTACAATTTGTGTCTTTGGTAATGCCATGTCTTGATATTTAAAAGAATATTATGTATTTCGCTAATGAGAGTAGATGTGTACCCAATATACTATACTTAAACTGTATACAATATACTTAAACTGTCAAACACCAAGCGGTCACCAGTGACCGCAACCTATTGTTCTATAATTGTGTCTATAATGACGGTACTCGACGAGTTAAAAGTGTTTATTTAAAAGGAGACGACTCCGTTACATTATCTCATTACATTATAATCTTATAAATTCCGCATCTTTTGCATTCTGAGAAATTACTAACACTTAACTAATGCTAGGTGCGACGTTGAATCTGCAAACTGTCCTGAAATCGTTGATTATAGAATAATAATAACATCACGCCTTTTATCCCCGAAGAGGTAGGCAGAGGTACACATTAATTGATTTCTTAATGCCACTGTACACAATGAAACACCCACTTTTCACTATCATGTGGGTAGGAGGTGAGCCTATTGCCACATACCGGGTACATTTCCATACTCCATGCTACTACTGAGATTTTTTAAAATCACCTAGTAATAATACTTTTCCCGATCCGGGAAACGAACCCGAGATTCCTTACCCAGCAGTCGCGCTTGCGACCACTCGATAAACGAGGGAGTCGATAATAGAATGCTACACACATCCACACAATAAAAAGACTATCAAATTTCGAAGCGATAACACAAAACATATTTCTCGTACGCCTAATTAAACGTCTATCAAAGAACATCATAGGTAGGTACATACCTGTAATAAACCAAATAAAATGTTTATAAAGCGGTAATAAGTTCTGTAACAAATATTAACTTTTTTACTACCAGAGAACTATAAAACGTAGACGCAATATAATATGTAGTTTTCAAAGAAAATGAAGTGTACATAAAAATGTGAGTTATAAAAGAGAAAGGAAGCCTTGAAACGTTTTGTTTACAAAGTTTATGAAAAAAATGAGGAACAAAGTATTACGCGTTGCTCAAAGTGCTATTACTCTTGTATTGGTAAAATAATATAATAATATTTTACTGTATAATAATTTAATAGATTAAGAATTAATTTGAGATTAGTTCAAATGCTGTGTAAAAATTGTAGTAATAGTTTTAAGATATCCTAGACTTCTTTACACATCTTATTATGAAGTAGCTTATACCTGCCATACACGTTCTAGAACGAATTGATTTTTTAATGCACTTTTCTGTGCCTGCGCAGGTGCGCAGTCTATTCCCATACCTGCAAATGCATACCTTTCCGATGGACCGTAACAAGTATGGCTGCCATTATGTAACTGCACAATCTTGTGAATTCTTTTTAATTAATTTAAATAAAATTTAAAGTTTGGATTTATTGAATTGAATTGAATTTATTTTCAATGCGTTTTTACATAAACGGAGTTGCGAGACAAAACGATTTCAGGAACTCGTTATATTTTTGGAGGCCAAAGAATATAGTCGTATTTAAATGAAATGGGACTTACAATCCTTGTCTTGTCACTTGAAAACTATCGAAACACGAGTTATAATTAAAACAGCTTTTTCTGCATTAAAATGTAAAGTTTTTAGTCGGAAACAAATTCAAAATACATGTATGATGGCGATGATACAGATCAATATACATGATGCTGCAATTTCAAATGAAAGCGAGTTTGAAGTAGTTGTGTAACTTTTTCGAGTCTATTTGTTTGGTTCACTAATTATTATAAGAATTATTATTCCGCCGCATGTCAGACAAACGGTGGGCAAAACTCACTACTGAATGGAGCCCACTCAACGTCAATAGACGTCGTGGTAGGCCCAGAAGAAGACGTGATGAACTTCGAAAGGATTGGCCACAAAAAGCTTTAAGAAGAGACGGGTGGAGAGGGTAGGGAGACCTTTGTCCTGCAGTGGGACGACCATGGCTAATAATAAATGAAATAAAACTATCACAATTAGTATTTTTTAACAACTTTAAATTAACATCGTGATGTAATGAGACATAAATGGTTGTGAAGGTAATTTATATTTACTTACAGATTGGTATGCAGATGTCGCATGTAGAAGCTCAACACCAAAATGATACGATCGTGTTTTTTGATGACATGGATCTTGTGAAGATAAGGTATTTATTAAAGTTATCACACAGATAATATTATCAAATATGGAGTCAATTTTAGAATCCACATTGAATGGAGAATTAGATATGATCTTATGAAATATATATATTATAGTAGTCCTAAGCAATGGATAATAGTTTATCTGTAAAAACTAGTACCTCAACAAGCAAATAAAGACTTTAAATTATGATATTGGCGACTGCGTCGTTGGCGGAGTGATCGTAAGTGCGACCCGAAACCCGTAGTCCGACACTACGGGTTTCGGGTTCATTCGTGGATTAGGCAAAGTATAACTGTTTTTTTTAAATAAATCTCAGTAGTAGCACGGAGACTGAAATTGTACCCGGTATATGGCAATAGGCTCACCCCCTATTACATAAATAGTGAAAAGTGGTTGTTACATTGTACAGTGGCATTAAGTGGCTTAACATGCACCTCTGCCTACCCCTAAAGGCGTAGTCTTATGTGTTATGTTAATTATAATATTCTTAGTCGTATATTTGTTTGGGAACCCGGTTTAAAAGGAACAGCCACAATTCATGTCAGTGTAGAATTAAATATGCATTAATCTACGCAAAATGTATGAACACTCACGTTTGTATGCTAAGTGCCAGCCGTTTAACATAGCAGACACCGGATCGGCAATTAAAACTTTTTAATAATTTTGCATTTTTTTAACGTCCCTAAAAACAAACTACTGGCAAACTTTTAATTTCATTTAGGAGAGTTTGACACATTTTTGTAAGTAATAAAAATATATCGTGGGTGAAAATGGACCTGTGGCTCTGAAGTAAAGTTATTTTAATCTAAATATGGACATCGAAACTTTCAATACACTGCCCTTTTATTGCAATGGATATAAAAGCAAATTACCTACGAGTACAGTACATAAAATTTGTGGTTTAGATAGTTTAAATATTTCTAAGAACAACAATATTCTATATACCCAATACAGAGAAGCTTAAAAAATAAAAATAAAACATATAAATGTACTTAAGACATTCTACCTAGTTGTTGTACAAACCTAACACTTTTCTAATTAGGACTTTACCGCATTGCAATTAAGATCTAGACGTCCCCAACACACAGCTCACTATAGAAAGTCTTTGCACTGTTCACAAAGCAAAGTACATCATTCGGTAAAACCAACACCCAGTACAAATTGACATTGCTCACCGTTTTAATACGGTTCAAATTCCGAAATTTGGTCGCGTAGAAAAAAAAAAGAAAATAAAGTTGATTCACCAATTTTACTCTGTAAACGCGGAATCAAGGCAAATGTACCATGTCATTCGTGATTTCATTATCCCCAAAGGAATCCAGGGAATCCCTGATTTATTCGTGCCCGATTCTTATGCATTTCGGTTAAATTTAAAAGGTTGATTGATTTACGTATTAGAAGCGATTGATTTATAGAATTAAGAGTTAAAATATTCAAGGTATTTGGGTAGATATACAAATTATATTTTAAGGGTTATAATAAGGAAAGTGACCTCCTTTTGATATGTTAAAGACATTATGTACTAGGTAAATTTGAGACGTCTCGACGTTCAAGTAAAAGCGAGATATTTCTGGTTTCCCAGAATAGTAGTAATAAAAATAGGTAGTTACTAGTCTCATTGCAATCCAACTTGCTGCAATAGAAATTTTATTCAGAAGTTGTTAATACCTTTCTAATGCAGAGTGACTTTCTAAACTATAATTTAATGTACTATAGTAAAATACAAGGGTGCTCGTCAGGGTGCGTCCAAATCCGGCGAATGTGCCGCTCGCGAGCCGTTTGCGGGCTGCCCGCGAGCTGCGCGCATGCTGTCACGGTTATAGTTTGGTGCTCAACTCATACTAGGTTCGTATAAATAATAATTTTAAATGCACGCGCACAGCTCGTGGACTGCACGCGACCTGCGCAATCGCGGAGCATTCGCAAAATGTAGACACACCCTAATGAGCAGTTTATTAACTAAATAAATAAATCTGGTTCCTCTTGAGTTTGACAAGTATCTAATGATAATATTTACATTGTTACAGTCAGAAAACGGTAGACCAAATGACGTTACTGGAATCTCTTGTGAGGCTAATGAATAAAGGAGACAGGCCTGTCAGAAGATACTTCGACTCCTACTCCACACCTTTTGCCGGATTTGAAGAAATTACTTTTAATAACAAACCAGTGTTAAGGCTTCAAGAATAAAAAGTAATAATAAGGATATTATTTAATACAATAAGTGATATACCTCCGAATTTAAATACATCAACAATATATACTGTACAATGCAGTATTATATACTGTTATGACTTAAGATCACATTTTTCAGTCCTTAAGCTGTGGACAGATGTGCATCAAATAGTGGATACTTATAAAAAAATGATACGTCGTGACGTCATAAAAAACACCTTATAGCGAGCTCATGACAGATGTACTAAACTTAGCTTGTACTTCTGAGTATCAGACAAGATGTTATGTAGTATCCATACCATTTACATTATTACTCGTACTTGTTAGTACGATACATGTATGTTATGTATAAACCCCAGCCTTTCTCCGAACACAATCTAATTAAATCACAAATACCCAACTGGCGTTCAGTTTTGTGTATTAAACATACGCTGTTGTATTCTCAGACAAAAACAAATGAACTAACTAACTTGAAACAGGAACTATTTCTCCAAAAAGCTGGATATAATTTTAATTAAAGAATGCTGAAACGTTGCAACGTACCCGCTTTGTACGAAAGCCAAAGACTACCGTTTGTGGTTGTACCAAACTTTTGTAATGGGTACAATAGTGAATTTATTGTACAGTTTTAGTAAGTGGGCTCTAGTTTTTGTGTAACTTATCATTTATTATTTTTAGTCGTTTTAATTTAGGTCAGTGAAATTATGTGACTATTACAATTTTGCTGTGCATTATTTGGTATAGCATGACAATATGGTGGTTTTGTTCGGTCATTTTTCAGTAGCCACAAGTGATTTCGGATTTATTTATTAGGTTTAGAAAAGTCAGGTTGATAATTCAGCTTTCCCGGCTCGACCGGAGTGATACCACGGCCTCGCAGTTTTCTGTTAAACGACGCTTGCGTGGTTTTTCGTCGTGAGAGTGAGGTTACCGGACGCCCAATCACTCCCCCCCCCCATCCTTCCATCCATCAACAGCCTAGGCTGAGCAAAGCCTCTTCTCACACGGAGAAGGTTAGAGCGTTAATCACCACGCTTGCTCAATGCGGGTTGGCGATTTCAAACTTTTAATTAGAAATTATAAGTCCAGGTTTCCTCACGATGTTTTTCCTTCACCGTTTGTCATCCTTCCCCAATCCCTAAATCCCCAATAATCCTCAAATTCCTAATCCCGAAAGGCGGGTAACGTACTTCCAACGCCTCTGGTGTTTCAGGTGTTCAAGGGCGACGCCGATTACATACCATCAGGTGATTCGTCTGCACGTTTACCGGCTTATATCATAAAAAAAGCTTTTTCTAGTTTCGAAATTATTTTCTAAGCATGCCAGACAACTACCTATAGCTAATACTAATCCAGAACTGTTTAAAGCTCAATTCAAATAGCAGGTACTAGGTATACTTATCACAATATCGACACATAAATCCATTTCATTCTCAAGGACGTTGTAAATCAGAGTGCGACAGCCAGTAAGAGGGACCTGCATTTATTGAGATAACGGTAACGTACAGAGTGAAGTGCCATTAGATATTCCTCTTGGTATTGGAACACTGAAGTACCTTTTTGTGTTTTTGTTTAAGTACCTTCTAAGTATACATGTTTTACGAATATTTTCTCGTTACAAGAGTTTTATTTTGTGTTCTAGGTAAATGAGGTTCGGTCTTGTTTGATAATATGTTCATAGTATCGTCAGAAAAAACTTGTGTTAGATTTGTAGGGTTATATAAAGGTTTGTAGATTTCCACTGTCTTGTTATTGAAGTTATTTGTAAAATCGTGTCTGATTTCGATTATTACTTGCGAAAAGATAATAATAATTTTAGAATTAAAATGATCACTCCCACACTGTTTTGAGAATTCCCGGAAACTCCAAATAAGATGAAACCACGTCACTTTTAACTTTCATTGTCACCATAATACATAGGTTGTACATTTACTTAGTTGAATATGTGCCAACAATGTCATCTTTCCTAAAGTGTAGTGAAAAGCTAGCTGGGGTTGAATTTAATCTAATTACGACACAGTGGTGGCAGAATGTCAAAAATTGTTTGTCAGCATGTTATCTTATATTTTTTTTTATAAATCGCGTATAGAAATACCGACTACAACCCTCTCTTTTTAAGTACGTTAACTAATATACTGAAACTTTCTCCTAAGCGGTGTAAACCCGAGCCCCAAACCCCGAGCGTACGGCGCGTTGCGTTCCGCGCGCGCCTCAAAGAGCCATCAGACTACCACAGATGGGGCCCAACAGGACCGATGCCGATTCGGAGTCGCGGAGAACCTAACGGGTAACCGGGGCTCCGGCTCGACGTGCAGGAGAAGGAACGGGGTGGTTTTTAGTCAGTAAGAGACACACCCCACACACTGACACTCCCTCCCGCCTCACCTAGGCGGGAGCAGTCATTCGATGATTTTCCCCCTTTAAAATAATAAGTGTAATAAATACTTCGCTGCTGACCGCATCAAAATTAGTTCAGCCAGTCAGAGATAGGTAATCGATTGGCGTAAAACGACATAACGTTAATCTACTTTCCGGCATATCAAGGATAAATACAATACGTTTTATTCTACAAAACATGTTTGGCTATAACATAAAGTTAAATAGTCACATTGTTAACATTTTATAAATGCCTAATATTTTTAAATAATTACAATAGCTATGCTTAAGATATTAGTATTTTTCCATTACATAAGAATAGTTAATACATAAATAGTTTTGTGTGAGAATGACGTAAATAAATTCAAGTATACCTAATGTTTATACATGAATTACTTGACAGTATACTGATGACGCATTGTTTTGGTCGTGGAACACGGAAAATATAGCTATTGTATAAAATATTAATTACTAGGTTTGAACTAGTTCTCATGTAGTATGCACACGTCAGAGGTCCACACAATGATTCATTGAATGTGGTTTAGAACTTACGCGAACTTCCAAAACTAGACTCACTAAAAATAGTTGAATTTAATTTAGGTATCAAGGTTTTTTATGTTTTGTAACATAATTATATTATTTATACTGGATTTTTTTACGGTTCCAGTACTACATGTGCTCTAATTTGTTTGTCAGTTTTAGCTTTAAATTTTTTTGTTATAGAGGTAAATATATTGTTTAGTTTCATTAAAATCTTTTTTCTTCTTCACGTACTTTTACATTACCATTTCAGGTGCCAGCGTAAAGGGGAAAGAGGAAGAGACCACAGATAATCTATTGACATTTGACATTCCGTTGTTGTCAACGTCAAACGTCACCTGGCTTAACTCGTCGAGTACCGTCATTACAGACACAATTATAGAACAATAGGTTGCGGTCACCGGTGACCGCTTGGTGTTTGATAGTTTAAAAGGCTATGTTACAATAAATACATTGCAAAAGGCAGATATAAAAGTACATAGAGACAATAAAACGCGATTCAGCAGCTGTAGCCAAATGCCATTTATCGCTTGTCTAAATTATATGGAATTGACGTAAATTTTGACAATTGTCAGTGTCATTCCCATACATTTTGATTTTTATTCTCTCTGTAGACAAGCGCTAAGTGGCATTTGGCTACAGCTGCTGATATACCTTTCACTTCATCTACATACATTCATCAATGTCTTCATGGCTGCTCGGGGATTCAGTGTACCTTCAAATCATAAGGTAACCAAAATAAATTATAAATAAATTGTCCACTTTAATTTGTAGATGATACTTTATTTAAAATAAGTTACCAATTCGCTCAACAAATATAAATAAAACCACATAAATAAGACCAAAACGCATTTTACGTATAAAACAAACACAAATAAAAAATCCATTAAGTTGAATAATAGTTGTTTTCCAAAGCTATCTAAATACGATTTAAAAATAATACTTATTGTAAAACTTATTTCAAATGTATTTCGTTTAAAATCTAGCAAAACGAGTATCGAATACAGTCGTGTAACGATTTCATTCAGTCAAGTTTCATATCGGTAATCCCTTGGCCATCCATATGCCCGGTGCACGGACCGTGCACTAAGGCTCGGACATGCTGTGACGAAAATATTGTGGATACGTAATCCTTCACTTGAAGTTTATACGAATATCAAGAATTTATTCTTGGATATTGTAAAATATGGTCATCTTACTAGAAGCAAAAAAGACAAAACAACACTGGGATCCTACAAAATGTCAGAAATTTAAGGAAGAACTGACTTCGTTTTCTTTTTTTATGGTATTTTTTTAAGGATGGATAATCATCGAATGACTTCTGCCGCTTGGGTGAGGCGCGAGGGAGTCTTAGACTCTTACTGATTAAAAACCACCCCGTTCCTACTTCGGATCGGCATTAGCCGTATTGGGCCCCATCCGTGGTGGTCTGATGGCTTTATGAAGCGCACGCGGAACGCGATGCGCCCTATGCTCAGGTTTTTTATGGTAGTAGCCGGTAAACGAGCAGACGGATCACCTGATGGTAAGCAATTAGAGTCGCCCATGAACACCTGGAACACCAGAGGTATTACAAGTGCGTTACCGGCCATTTGGAGATTAGGAATTTGAGGATTATTGGGAATTCAGGGAGATAGGGGAGAGGCGGGTTTAATTTAGCCTCCGGTAACCTCACTTACACGACGAAACACGACGCAAGCGTTGTTAATCTAACATTTATTTAACTACCTATCACGGTCATAAACACACCCTAGTAATCTGTGGACTACACAACAAAAAGTACACATACATATGTCCACGGATTTCCTAAATTGAAAACTGCCATCGATTCCGGATATGACGTAATATTGATATTTGATACACTACGTAGCCATTTTGTATTTTTTCGGTGAGCTCTGATTATCCTCATCGGAGGGTGGCCATTGAATTTGATGAGGTAATCCCGTGGAAATAATGTGCTGTTTCGAAGCTCTGGAGATCGAAAATTGTCTGGACGGTCTCGATGGGTTTATCAAGGTGTTATGATGTTGTTCTGAGTTTTATGGGCAGAAAAATCTATGTGAAAAAAGTGAGATATGGTGTTTTGGACTGATAAGACGCGTAGTTTA